CTAATCTTACCTGCGCTTAGAGTGCTCGGAGTAGTAGCTTCATCATATTTGTGTATTTCAATGGCGGACGATGTTAGCGAACTAAATATATTGGTTGTACCCAAAAAACCAGAGCTCTTCTTACGTTGCGTTGGTACATTAATGCCACCGGGTTGCAAAACACATGGCGATATAAGTGCTGGATGTTCTGAAGCTCTACGATAATTTGGCGCTGGTGATGTCTGTGCTGTAACACATTCTGAATATCGACGATTGGTGTAACGTTGTGGTGTGCTGCCGCCTCTTTCATCTAAAGTTTGTACTTCACAAACTTTTTCATTGCTAGTATTCCATAATTTCATACGTGCCTTTCGCGATTGCACAATATCATCCATAATATCTAATTGTAAATTATGTATGCTGCCAATGGGATCAATAGCTGGTGGACCAGTTGATGTGTTGCTTTCACGTCGTGAACCTAAAATACGACTGGTGAGATGGAAAAAAGGTTGACATATTTATTAGTGATATACACATAACCAACCAACCCCCTTCCCCAACTCACTTGTTTGTTGGATAAGCAGCTACGGATTCGCGTCTGGAACGTCCAAATAATGTTGTTGGCACCTTTGATATTGTGACAACGGAATGACGACGACCAGATGGTGCTGGAGCTTGTGAAAGTGTTGCTAAAAACGCAGCTTCTTTTGGACTCGGACCGGAACCTTCGCCGCCGCGCTCGGACAAGCGTCGCACTTGACTTGCAGTTATTCCTTCTGTGACTTGTTGAGAAGGAAGGGAATGCTTTCGACCTTCTCGTGGATCTCGCCATGGTGATAGTAGGTATGGGTTTAATGGCGAATCGATCTCTAAACTAGCCTTATTTGAAGGTGTATTTGAGCTATCTTGCTCATCATCTTCTACAGCATTCGATTCTTCTACGACAATTAAAGGCTCCTGCTTGCCCATGTGTCGTGAAAACGATGATCGACGCAAACGAAAAGTATCTGCAGAATGGAGAAATGGTAATAATATTAAATATTTAAAAAAAATACATGTAACTGAATAATAAAATTACTTAAAATAAAACAGCTCATCAGTAATTAGCTATTTCACACAACCAAAGTGACAGCTTTTATTTACACACAACACCTCCGCATCCTCATTCAGATACAGAATAAAATGAAAATATGTTGACACCTACACGTGTAACGTCTTATCTACGCTGGTGTTCATCACCTACGTGGTAAAGGGATTTGCACTTCTGATTACATCGAAATGTTTGACAATGCAAATCTGACACGGAGCACAACGCTGCGTAATCGAATTATTAAATGACGGAGAATTGATAAGAAAAAAATTTAAATATTTACTTACTGGGAATTGTCGCATTTCCATTATTGAAAAAAACTGCTTAACAGCACAAGTGAAACCGAAGGCACACATATGCCGACATTTAATTTCACGTCAAGTAAATGGAAAAATCAAGATTTTTGGAAAAACAGCAAGAAAATTCGTTGCCTTTGTTTTAATTTTCATTAAATTTTTCCGTTTAGCTCATATATCAGACAATATTGACGTTTCGCAATACAAGCATGAGATACAATCCTGAGGTAAAACCTTATTAAAGGCGCACTCATTAGCGTTATTAATTTTTTAATATAAAATCCTGTTAAAAATATTTTCTTTAACCTTTTGTTAATCAGAGAGCAACAGTTAGGTGTGTGAGTATGTTCCTATGGAAACGAAATTTAATAAAAATGTTATAATTATGCACATATATTTCACAACAAATAATTTTCATCCATCAAGCGTTTTTTATATGCAAATGACACCACTGAGTACGAGAAAATTAATGTAATAAAATATTACGCTAGTATAAAAAATTTATTCACATACGTTTTATTGCTGGAATGTTTAAATATTTACTCAAAATCCATGAAAATTATATTATATATATTTTATTTTTGCATAAGTGATGACATTTTATGTATTAACAAGAGAATTTGATTTAAAAATCTTAATTATGTTGCAATTATAATAACAGGTAAATTAAATATATTAAATATTTTTGAAAATGTTCATTTTGTTTCAAATGGACTTTAATTAATTAACCATCGAAATTAATATGTAAAACTGCAGATACAAAGTATTTAAATTTATGAGATTCAATTATATATTTTGCTCTTTTATCATTTTAAAATGTGTTTTAATTAAAAAAATGTGTTGTTTTGTATTAACTTTATAAGTATTGGTACAATGGTAAAAAATATCTGGTGGTTGCAGTGCTTCACTCTGAATAAAAACCTTAATCCTCATCTTATTTCTAACATACTGTAAAGCACAATAAAGTCACGAGTCGTAGTATGTAGTATATTTTACATAATAATGTTCTAGCATACCATAAGTATAACACAAAGGGCGTTATAGCTGATACAAAGTAGGAATAAAATTGTTAATTTAAACGATCAACTAGCTATTTGAAAGAAGCTAACTAACATTAAAATGTTTTTATTAATTTCTATAACAAATACTTTTATAAGTACCGAATAAGCACAACTTTTTGGAATTCAAAAGAATATCATCTCCCAGCCAAGTAAAGTGATATGAGCTCAATGGATTTTTGATACTGTAGCAGTCCACAGACAGCTTTTTGCGTAAGTAAAATGCGGTGCAGACTATTATTTTTGAATGTCATTCAATTTGCGCTCTCAAATTTATTCTAGCAATCGAACTTGAACATACTCACATTCAAAAATTGTCATTCAAGCAAAATTTTTGAAGATAAGGGTGTTTACGCACGCTGTAAATGTGTAGTAAGCACGTCAACATGTTGGTTGCGTGTCATTCAAAGGTGCAGACTATCATTTTTGGTTGTCGTTCATGGATTTTCTCTCTTGAATGACACTCAAAAATGATATTCTGCACAGTGCGTAATTGAAGTAAGAATGTTTTCTATGAAAGAGTACATAATATCTTTCGTTAAAAAGTATATAATTACCAATAGGGTTATTAATTTTATGTTAACAAGTTAATGTTACCTATAAAAAGTTTACCAATACCTATAAAATGTTACCTATAAAAAGTTTTCTATAAACTATCTGAACAATCTGTCATATATATTTATTATACACAGAAGACTGAATGAGTGTGAATAATTATATGTTTTCAAACTTTATGACAAATTCTAAAACTTCTAAAAATTTCTATAGTATCTTTGCGAATTCATTATTCATAGAGGACTGTAAAACTACATAATATGCTGGAACAGAACTAAGTTGAACAATATTCACTAGTAAGCAGGAAAGGTTTAAAATGTATGAAGAAAACTCTTTGAGTTTGTTATGGTCTAATTCGGATTATTAAAATAACTGATGATAATGGATAACAATTGCGGGCCCAAAATCTACCTCTTAGATAAAATATCGCTAGAAATGGTTTCTCCTTAAATGACATATTTTAATAGTAGCTGCTGAGAAAAAATTAAATTTTGTAATCAAAATAATAAAGTAACTGTTTAGAGTGACGGTTACTTAAAGCACCGCTTAACTAAGAACATTTATTTGACCATTATAGAGTCTCTTAGCTTTATACTAACGTAATGAAGTTCAGAGCTACAAATTGTATGACTGAAATACAACATTTACAAGTTTACTTCATTTATTTGTTGTAGTATTAATAATAATTAATAATTTATAAAATATTTATTTAACTTAAAAACTAAAAATAAATCTATTGTTTGAAAGTTGATGAAATATTGTAGTAAAATTAATTAATTTAGATATTATATCGTTTATACGAGCAAAACGATAACAGAACAAAAACCATAGATAAATAATTCATATAAATAAATTAAATATTAAATAAATATTATATTATATAATTAATATGGATGAAAAATTATAAATTAAAGCAGCACAAAGCACAAAATGCAAGATTTCTTAATATTAGTGATAAAGGTAAAATATCTAAATTAAATTGAACAATGATATTGAAAGATATTACTATAATGAATTTTAAATATTAAATTTATTCAATTCAACAGCCAGCTTATGGTCAAAGTAGACTTGATAAATAATTACAAAGAAAGCTTTATTCCATATTGACTGTAAACAACAACGCAAATTAGCAAACTTGCACTTTGCTCTGGAATACGAGTAGCATTGCTTCAATTACGAGACATAACCAACATTAATTTGTTGTCAGCAAATTGCATTTGAGTTGTCAGTGTGATAATTTATCAATGTACCAACATTGCATGAAAACAAAAAACCATTAATATACCAAGCAGAGCAACACCTTACCTACGTCAACTAAAATGCATTCAAGTGATATTTTCTACTGTGCTCGATGCATGCAAACATACGTCATTTCAGTGACATTTATGCAGCATTATTTTGCACCAAAGTGCAAAGTTGTATTTAAAGTAACCGTAACTTATAACTTTGTTTCGCCTAAGTAAACAAGAAAACTCTATTAAAAAGTTGAACAAACCAACTTCAACAGAAATATTTGCTAAAAATCCAAGTGGGAACTATAAAGTTTGTAAAATTTTTTAAAAATGGAATTTTAAGTAAAATGTCGGAAAATTTATTTCAAATATATTTTTATTATAGTTTTAAAGAAAAACATTTTTTCATGTTTTCTTTTTTGGTTCGCAATGGTTAAACCCATAGTACTGACTTAAGCTTGTTTATCTTTTATTAGATTTGATTTTAAGGTAGATTTAAGTACTTCAAAGTAATCATAGTGCTTATTTATATTGCTTGCCGTTACTTCAATTTGTGGGTAGATGAAATAAATTAAAAAATCTACGACTACAAATCCACACTATAGATGAAAAATCACGCACTTAAGCGTCAGCTAAACTCAACGGAGAGTAGATTTTTAATTCCAGTAAATTCTCCTCTTTCTATTACATTTTCCATTAATTTTCGCAAAGAATGAAAGATTAAATTCTTTTAAAACAAAAATACATTAAAGTTTTCCTATCAATTTTCTTTTATTTGCAAAATTTAATTAAATCGGTCTATGATAGGAAAAAGTAGCCAAATAAAAAGTTTTGAATAATTTTGAAAGACGATTGAAAGAATATAAAAATAAATGTGCTGTCCTTATAGAGAAAGTTATATTAAAATTAATTGAAAGCAAATAGCTAAATTATTGTAATTTAAGATATCTATTTTTATTATAATTAAAAAAATAATAAAAATGTAAAATAGCTTATTCAATTAGTATATAATTAGTGTAAAATAGTATACTCACCCATTTTTGAGATCTTTGAATTAGTTTAATTAAAGCTGAAATTATAAAAAAAATACAATATTGATTAAGACTTCAATTATTTATTTTTAAATTATTTAAAATATATATATGTATTTATTTGTGTATAATAAAAATATTGAAAATAATTACCATATAGTGCCAAGATATCTTTGAAAATTTTGTATCTTTTGAATATACATATATAACTATAATGAGTAAGTAATTAGTAATCGGATTAAAACCTTATGCTCCCCAGTGGAGTAAATAAAGAGAAAAAAAATAGCAAAATAGCAAATGGGTAAAATGCACATGTCATGTATACATATTTTCTACAGGATTTATGTATTTGCACAGTATATATAATGTACTCATATTAAAAATTAAAACAATTTATTTTTGTACATTATTAATTTGTATTTCCAAAAAAAAAAATAATAATAGACTTCAATTGTTTTCTTAAAAGAGCATTTAATTTTGCTTAATTATAACTACAATCTAAATAATTTAAATTATTTAAAAAGTTCTTACTGCACTTCTGTATTTGAGAGCATCAAAAATACATTAAGAAGAAATGCTAAAAAAGAAGAAGAAAAAGTTTTTAGTTTAATTAAAAAATTTCGCTTATTTATAAAACCATGAATTTTCCTGAAAATATTTTTTGTTAGTTTTGCTATGGAAACGACAATCAAATTTAAATTTTTCCTTTGCCGAAGCTTTAATACTTTATATATAAAACGCAATATGAAATTTAAAACTGATATCGAATATACTCTTACCCATAAAAAATTATTTTTTTTTAAATGAATAAATAAACTGTTATTACATACATAATGCTTAGCAGATTTCTGTAACCTTCAATATATCTGGTGTTTTGTTTGGAAAAGTCTTACAAATTCTGACAAAATAGTGATAAGTGAGCAACACAATAAGCATAAGGTTTTTGTGGGTTTTATTTCTATGAAAACTAAGTAAAAATTAATATGTTTAATATATTTTTAATGATACAATTACTAATATTAATTCAGATCCATACTGAATAATGAAAATCTGATTATAGGCAAGCTTTCTATATTGATTGGATTGTCTTTGAATCCATTGATGATATTTCAAACTAAACGATACAAAACGATTAGCCAATAAATATTAGATTGGAATATTTATTGGTGATATAGTCAGACAAGTAAAGGTCAGGTATCTTCTTGGAGATATGCATAGCGAGTATATAATTTTATTTCAAATGGGTGAATACTTGCATTAGATCGAACAAAAAATTATTATAAAATAAGTATATATAATATATTTCTGTAGGAATTGTTTGTATTATGAGTTTCTGTCTTTGTTTAGTGTTAATAAATTTGTGATATGCAAAATTAAACACTTTATTTAGTCCCTAGTAACCGAAACGTAGTATTTTTAGAAGGAACTCAGTGGCCTACAAAGTTTAATGTATAAACCGCTTTTATTATTACTTTTTTATTATTACAACACATTTTTTATTTACAACCACGTGGGAATTTACAATTTACGATCATAAAAATTAATCACAACTTAAAACTTTAAATATAATTATTTTTCTTAACAAAATCTTTAAACTAACATTTCAAAGTTGAGTTCCAATACAACCTTTAGGTATGTGATGGATTCACTATGTTTATGTCATGCTAGTATTTGGTCTCAAATACCAAAGGGTAATTCTGCTTTTAACTTTCGACCTTATTGAAATTATTTTAATATGTAGAAAACTTAACACGTGTGATATTCTATGTGAAATATTATACAGCTTTTTATACACTTTGACCAATCAAAAACTTAAAAGCAATTTCCGCATGCAAAAAGTTAATGAATAAAATGATGGATATCTAAATCAGAGGTATCTACATTACATATCGAAAGTAAGAAGACAATCAACACAGGATTATATGCGTTCAATTCAAATAATACATGATGTAATTGAAATTTTAATTAAAAATTCAGAAACAGAGGAAACGCATGTTAAAGGTCAACATGTTACTTAAGGTTATTTGTCATTTGTTGCATTAGATATATTTACCAAACCAACGAGGTGATATAGTTTGATATAAATTTAATTGAAAAATACTAAAAATAATTATGAAATTTTGAAGAAATAAGTAACTTTGATTAGGAATTAATTTTTAGTTGATTTTTTTGAGCTATAAGATTTTTAACTAGAATATTTTTGCTGAATGTAAATATACCTACACACCAGTTTATATAAATGTATCTAAAAGTTGAATAGTGTTAAGTTATTCAAATCATCGATTTTTAATATTTATAAAAAAGAAAAATTTATTCTTATATTTTTCATATTTTAGTTTTTTTAGCCCAACAATACTCGTGTAAATCTCAAATATCCTTTTGTTGAAAAAAACCAATTTTCGTGTATGCCAAATTCCTGTTTCCTTTTTTTATTCTTTTGACCACATGTGAAAACTGTCACTTGCCTTAAACATTCACCATAACCACACAAGCTCACCAGGCAAATAATGAAGAGAAGATGTCATTCCTTAATGAAAGCACAGCATGTGGAAAACTAATTAGTATACTTGAATTGTTGTAGGAAGCCTTAATTACATACTTTGTTCCAAGAAAATTGTACAAAGGTGAAATCACAAAGGAATGGCTGTTTGATAATTATCGAGAATGCCTGTAGATAAGCTTCACTATACTGATAACTAATTTATGTTGCTAAATACACGTATTTGAATATATAAATACAGTATAATATAAGAGAATTAAAAAAAGATTACACGTATTTAATTCCTACAATATATATAATATATATTATCCCAAAGAACCAAACTGGAAATATTATCATAAGAAACCATTCTTTGCTTATCAAATCAACTTATTAAATCACTAAACACTACAGACACATTTATATAACTCTAAGGACACAAAATAAAAATACAATTAAATTGTACAATAATATTGTTATACAAGGGAAATAACTGATATTTACTGTGAACGATTAATTCAAGCTATACGGACTAAGGAATTAAATCACATTTTAACCATTGTTGTGACCTATAAGTATAGTTGAATAATTTTGTATTTTATTTAAAGTTAAAAAAAGTTAAGTATAATAGGCAGTTAATAACGAAACGTGGCAACTCTAACATGATTAAAGAGATAAATGAACAAATTTTAAATCTTAACACATATCCACATTAACTAGGAGATATTCGTATTTCAGTAGGTATATGTGTACAATTTGCCTAGCTAAGATAGTTGAAAAATCTAAAATCATTTTCAATAAGCATTTCTTAGAAAAATGTGGCAACGCTAGTTCGACTAAATAAAGATGATAGCAGTTACCAGTATCAAACAGTCCAATAAAAAACCACTGTGTTACCACAAATTACTGCAGTTCAATAGCCATTTAAGGACACATAGTGAAATAAGAAATGTGTTTCATTTCCATATTTGTAATTCCGGTCAGGCTTTTGAGATATCTATACTCTGAAATCTTTTGATTAGTTCTGGGAAACGATAGAGTAAATAACACTTTTTGCTTCATCCTCTTAGCCATAACTAGTCATTGTGATGAAGCCTAAGCCAATATCAACTAAAAAGCTAAGCCAATAAAATACCAACGTTTGTAACTTAGCTGTGATGGCTAACAAAGCCATCATATCGATATTAGCTATAACTACAACAAGAGTCATTGAGAGGAAGCCCGAACCAATGTCTACTAAAAAGCTAAGCCAATATAATATCGATGTTTGTAACTTAGCTATGATAGCTTATTTGTTGTTGTGTGCCGATATTAAATAATTCGCATAGTGGATATAAAATTCGACACATAATCTTCATATACATTAAGACTGAAAAGTTTTCGGAAATTCTCATTTAAAATTCGCGCGCTGTATATTTTTCGATATTTTAAGTTTATGTAGTTTGGCAGCACTGTCCTTAATTACTATGCCAAAAATGAGCTCGATCTGTCAGACAGTTCGTTTACGGCAGCTGTTGAAACCAGTTCCCCTCAGTAGTGCGTTGCGAAATGTCTTCGACGGTCGTACGACCGTCCTGGAAGGCTTTGTACCACTCATAAACTTGAGTTTTCGATAAAACTGATTCCCCATAAGCCTTTTGTAGCATTCGCAACGATTCTGCACACGAAATTTCGTTCGAAACACAAAATTTGATGCAAACTCTTTGTTCAATATTTTTTTCCATTGTTTTTTTCGCAACGCCCTACTGAGGTGAACTGGTTTCAACAGCTGCCGTAAACGAACTGTCTGACAGATCGCGCTCATTTTTGGCATAGTAATTGTGGTTAGTGCTGCCAAACTACATAAACTTAAAATATCGAAAAATATACAGCGCGCGAATTTTAAATGAGAATTTCCGAAAACTTTTCGGTCTTTAATGTAATTATTGAATTTTGTATTTATTAAAAGATTTATTTATTCTTAAATAAATCAGTTTTCATGTATATTTTTCTGTTTACATAAATTACTATTGTATGCTACATAAAAAGTAAATTAAATAAATAAAAGCATTTATTTATCAAATTTATACTGCCTTTAAGGTATTGTAAATTCCGTAGACATTTTTAATCAAAGTTTTTAAATACATATTTGTATAGGAATATATTTATATACAAATTTGTTAAAACAAATGTCCTACTAATACCTTAAAATCCAAACATTTTAAAACAATTTCAAGATTAAACCATTTCTAAACCTTTTTCCAGTTGAATGCCAAAAATTCGTATCTTAGCAAAATTGATTTTTATTGATTTCAAAATACTTTTTCCAAACAATTTGTTAAGCAAATAAATGAATCATAAACTAGGCACTAATGCTCTTTTAAGCCTTGTGTGTACAGCAATCTTTAAATAATAATCACATCAAATGAACTAGAAAAAACAAGAATTTAAATAAATACAACAGCAATAAATCGAAAATTCAAATATATTCAGTAAAATCCTTAAAACATTTTTAATGCAGCTTAAATGTGTTTAATATAAATAAAGGT